GGCCAGCTACTCAATCTTTAATCAACAGACCACGCCGAACGTCAAGCACCATTTTACTTTTTATAAATGCAGATTTCCAGACAAAACTTCTCTAGTTTGAGAAACCCGAATGAATTTAACCGGATCAAGAACCGGCAAAGAGACCCTATCACACCTTGAACGCTTACCTATATTACTCATAAATGTAATGCAAGACTTCCCGCCTTTCTGACATGGGTCATAACAGGGTTTCCCCATCGACGTTAAGCCCAGGGTGGTTTATATTGTGCAATGGCCATGTGTGTGTGTGTGTTGTTTCATTGTGTGATACAATCTGGATTATTTTATCTTCACCACTCAATGGGGGGGGGAAGTAGGTGAAGCAACTGCTCAAAAAACCTTGTTCTCTATGGCTTCCTTATTTGGATCTTTTAAATGTAAAACTTATTCATGCCCTTTAATAAGCTGAATTCAGAAGGGGGACAAAAAGACATTCAGTGAATGGAGTCACCTTGGCTGGCTGTCCTGGGGTCAGGGTAAGAGTTCTAAGGTTTCGGATAACCCACAAATTATCCATTTACTAAGGCAAAGGTGGTGAGGAATAGATTTGAAGCCTTAAAACACATTTCTACACCCGTTTAAGATCCGGTCTATTCCAGGTAGATCTATATTTCCCCCCCACTTTCAAGCATTCTTCTCCAACCTGTTGCCTTTGAGAGGGCTCAGACTGCAACTCCCATTATCCCCGGCCAGTATGGATGATGGGCATTGTAGTACAATCCCTCTCAAGGACCCCAAGTCAAGGACTGCTGACATCCCCTAGTATTCTTGAAGCCTCCATCCCCTTTTAAATGGCTGGTTCTCATGCTGGTATGCTGTTACAGGTGGGGAGGTGAGTAAACAGAATTTTAGTTTAATTTACAGAAGATTTCAACCCTGTCGGGTGGAAAGCAGGCGGGCATGGACCTTCTCAATGGGATGAAGCGCAGCTAGCAAGGAGGGACTGGAGCAAAATGAAGCTGTGTTTTTCAACCCTTGACTCGATCCCACGTTGCTTGCAAACTTAGCGCTTGGAGAACTGGGTTCACTCTTCGCATAGTCGCCACAGAGACCATGACGCTATAGACACACCGAGAATGAGAGAAGGACTCGGTTCTCCCCAAGGTGCCCTCTCTTGCCAAAACCTGGAAAATTTATTTTTCTAATCGGCAAAACTGAGCGTTCTCCACTCTACATGGCTTCTGCCTCAAGCTGGTGATTGGGGTCCCCAAAAAAGTAACTCTCCCCCCCCAACTCTGCCTGCAATGCGCAAGAGCGATGACTTTTTGCTGTTTTGTTTCAGAAAAACCACCACCACCCAGGCGTGTTTATAGAGCTGACACCCTGACTGGGCTTGTAAAATTAAGTGTTGTTTTTAAAACCTGGGAGAACACTCCCACGTCCCTATAGATATATATAGGGTGAGGCATGGGGGGGGGTCTTCGGTTTGGTGATTTCGCTCTGCAGCTCACATGCTGCTGGGTTTAGGGTTGTTGTTTTTTTAAGCTTAGACCAGAGAAGGTTTAAAATCTGCATGAATTGGTCCTGGCTATTTTTCTGTTTTCAGCATCATCCTTTCCGCATCTGATGTGCTGTTTATTGATGGCCTGTTGCTTTCTTTGACATGCTGATGATGCAGCCCAGCCAAAGAATGTGAATTAAAAGCATTTTGAAAATAATAAACAAAGAAATTGCTCTTTGAAACGTATGGCTAGTAGGCAAACGATTCTGCCTCTCCTCAGACCTGTATTTCTTTGTAGGATTTTAATTTGCTCGATCCTCTCCCTCCCCATGTTCATCCCATCCTGACCAAACAATGAATGGCCTGTGAGTGTCAACAACCCATCAAAGGTGACTCACTTGAGGCAGAACTTTTGAGGAACAAGAGACAAACTCAAAGATAGATAGATAGATAGATAGATAGATAGATAGATAGATAGATAGATAGATAGATATTTGCGTAGAATTTTTTTTCACACACTTAGGTGGGAACTGGGGTTTATTGAGGGTTCCCCCCTCCTGTTAATTGAGTATTTTTTATTTCTGTGGCTCTTCCTTCCACTTTTTAGATGATAAGCCTCCAGGCAAGTGTCAGGTTTTTGCTTTTAATGAAATTGCCATACAGCTTTTGAGGTCAGGGCCAGCCCGAGTCCGTTTGCCGACTGAGGCACACCTAGCAAATTGTGTACCTGCTCACCAAAAAAACCAAGAGATGTAATACCCCAAATCTGAGGCCGAAAAGCTCTCTCCCCTCAGACATGATAGTGAACAGATAACTGCCACAAAAATACACAGAAGGGTGACCTTTTCACAGCTGCATCTTTCTCCTAATTGTAGGGCCCACCCTGCTGGAATTATTATTATTATTATTATTATTATTATTATTATTATTATTATTAAAATAATACTAAGTACAAACACTGTTGCTGTCATGTGTTTGGTGGAAAGATCTGGAAAACAGGCCTGTAAGTAACTAAGGATACTGTGGATGAAGAGATGCGTGGACAGCTGTTTCCTCAGAAATTTAACACACAGATGCACACAGACGCGCATGCGCGCGCACCACACACACAAACACACACACACATACACACACATGCCAGCCATTACTAGGTGCCCCTTCCCATCCTGGCTACAGCCCTTATCCACCTTAATGGGTTTATCAGATCTTTTTGGAAATGTGGGGGAGGAAAACACAGTTGATCAGTTGAGCATTCTGTATGTTAATCATGCATTGCGAGATTAGTTCTCCCTTGGGCAATTCTGAGCCTTTTGCCTCTCCACCCAAGGCCCCGAGTTCTAATCCTCGCAGAATTGAGAGAAAGGAAATTTTAGGTTGACTCTGAATTAATTTCTGCTCTGCTTGGTGAGGTTTTTCTCTGAAAGAAGCATCCATAGGATTGTAAACCAGCAGTGGATTTCGACACATATCTCCTTAGAAATGAGTCCCATCGAGTTCTGTGGGGCTTACTGCTAGATCAGCATAGAATTGCAGGATCTGGATATCTAGTTTTTAAAACATAGGCAGGAATGGAGCATGTGTGGAAAGATCAGAGGAGCGGCCCTTGACATATGTTTTTTTGCTGAGCGTTGCAGGGGATGGGGGGGGAGATAGAACTGGCGCAGCGATTTTTTTGCACAAAAACACATTGGGATAGAAGAAGGCCTCTACTCCTTGGTGGGCGCTGCAGGAAACCCAGAGTAACATCCCCAAAAGACATAAGCGTTGCCACCGTCAGCCAACCACATTTCCAATACAGAACAGCTAAACAGCCCTTACTGTATGCATCCATTTCAGAGTGTGCCTGTCCCAAAAATGGACTGGATGGGCGCTTGGAAAATTTATATTTTTGGACAGTGACTCTGCCGGCTGGAGCTGTAGTTCAAAAGAATAACTCTACTGAGTTCCAGATTGGGAGGATCAGCATTAAAGATGACCAGCGTAGCAGCCTGTGTGAAGGTAAACGTTTGCCCCTGTACGTAGGACCTGAACTCAGCTTCCAGAACTGGATCAAGAAGACAGGCAGGGGCCCTAACCCAGCTCAGCTTGAATAGGTCCCTTAATATCACCTCAGAAGGTCTATCAGTCTTCACAAAATTATGTTTGTTTCTAGGCACAAGACCCTTGCGACTAAAGACCTAACCCATAGCTTTCTTTGCCTGAGCAGAACTCATCTCTCTGCGCGCACCTCCTCTTCCGTACTCATGGAGCCATTTTGGAAATCGGCATTACAAACTACTCAGTGCTAAGTTGGGATCCAGAAAGCAAAAGCGTGGTGAGAGGGTTGCAATTTCCGTCCGTTTGCCCACAGAAGGAGTGCTTCGGGTTAAACACACTCAAATGCCCACCCTCCAGAAGCTGATGACAAATCAATAAATCAAATCAATAAATAAATAATGACAGGAACTCTTCTACCCAAAGACCTATAGATTGCAACATACCGCTGTAAGAGTTGCCCACGAGAGATCAACACTGAATGAACAGCAAAGTTTTCTAAGTGCAGGAAAAATGAGCACGAGGGAAAGATTGTGGAATGATGTTTTTGTTTGGGGTGTCTGGCATACGGGGATTTATAATGTCACCCAGCGCATGGTGTGTCCCATACGCCTCAGAGAAGGCTGGCGCGGATGAGCTTCAAAATGTGGGCATGCCGTGTCATACGGGTAGCTGTCTCCAGAGACTACGGGCCCCATCCTGACCAGCCTGCATGGCTTACTGGGAAAGGATGATGAGGTGTGTAGTCCTGCCCATCCGAGGGTTGCCCGTTTGGTGGAAGCTAAAGTAGGACTAAAAACAATCAGCCTCTTGAAAGAGCGAGGAGCAGTCATCCTCTCTAACCGTGATATTTCCCCGGACTCTCGAATGACTGCCTATGAATGTGCCACTGAATTCCAAATGCTCAAGACGAAACGCATAGATAGAAGAGCAGCTTATGGACTAAACATGGGGGGCACTTCACCCCAATATGTTTGGGCTGGGTGAATCCCCCATTCTGGCCATGAGCCACCTAGACAGAATGACTTTTTTCCTCTCAGCCTGGTTATGGGCTTCCTGGGGACAACTGGTTTACCATTTTTGGGAAAGAAGGCGGGAATATAAGCCTCATATTCTGAACCTTAGCCGTCTGTAAGTGACCTAGCTGTTGCATTGAGCTCCTTTTCCCCTGATTTCCAGCTGGGCACCTTCGGCTTCCAGCCACGTGCCGTTGGCGACCAACAAGTTTGAGGTCCGTATCGGAAGGAAGGAAAGACACTGTGTCTTGCCTTCCACACTCACAAACTGTATTCCCACCCCCCTTCCCTGGATCACAATGTGGATAAATCTCATACAAAATACTGGATTTGTATGCATGGATCCGAAAAAAATCCCACCATGTTTTGCCCAAACCCAACCCATGTTGCTTCTTCTAACCCTCCTTTAAAAAACACAAAACAACACCCCGACCACCATCTGCTCCCAAAAACATTTCGCCGTGGCCTACCTCCGTGGATTCACTATAGTATGAAGTCCACTCTGGAAGTTCGTGCGATTCCATTTTGACGGAGCCCAGCATTCCAAAATCCAGGAGAGGGGAGGGAAAAAATAAAAATAAAAAGGAGTATTTTGATTTTTAACTTAAATCCGAGAATCACTTTCTTTGAGTTTTTAACTTCTTTTTTTTCCTTCTTAGAAATATTTTTGGGGAAGCCCCACTTCGGCCACCAAACAACCAGTGGTTGACTCAGACACAGGATCGGGACCACCGTCTTGCCTGGTTGGAAATGGCGCGCTGATTCCGGGCGAGCGGATGCCTGCCCCAGGAAATCAAGGGACTCAACAGGCTTCCATGGCGTGTTCAACCAAAACAGGGCAATAAGTCCAGTCTTGGCACATCCAGCCTTCTGCACCTTCTTGGAGACGTTTCCGAGATGCTCTTGGCTTGACTTGACGTCTACTGGGCAGAGCGGAGCTGTTGGCAGTCCTCAGCTTGTCTCCCAGTTCTTCCTACGAAGGGCTGGCCCTCTGGAGAGAATCAAGTCTTTATAACTTCTCCCATTTACTCCGCCTGCTCGTTAGCGCCGTCTAAGTCCATGATGATTGAGCAGCGGTGGCCAAGTTACCTCTGCCATCTGGTGGATGGCAGTTGACAACAGCTTGGCTGGCTGGAAATCTTGGGTCTATGGAAAGGCTGCCGGTCTACCAAACCCAGCACTGGTGTTGTAGTGAAACAGGGGCTCACAGGGGTGAAAAGCTGAGATTTCTCCATGACCAGGTATCATTCGCCGGCTGCCGTCCCCTCTGAGCTTAACTGCAGTGGGCAGATATCGGGGCACGGAGCCCTGCCTGGCATTGAGTGAGTTTGTGGGTCCGCTTAGCCCTCTACATCCAACTGTGACAAGCAAAAACAACTCTCTCCAA